GATTGTCTTTGACTTTGTGTGACTGACGAGTTTGAAACACACCGCGGCTCTCGTTCGCGTACTGACGGCGCAGGCAACGCGGGCGTGATGCAGAGGAGTCCGGGGCGCGAGGAGGGAGCGCAGGGGGGGGCAGGGCAAAGCAGGCGTCAACTGCGGACTAACCGGGTTCGCACTGCCATTGGTGAGAACATCCAAATGATGGGTTGTTGTCCGGACCGCACAATATTGCCACATTACCATCCCCACCCCTGCCCCCCGACCAGCTCGTCTCTTGGAGAGGTTGTAGGACGACGTTCAAACAACTACCGTAGGTACTTTACTCTGCAAGTTTGTTGCTGTCACCGTTCGTGATGAACGAGTCAGACGAATCTTTATGGTGCGAGATGCCGAAGCGTTTTTGCGGAAGAATGCGGACGATCTAACTGCGCGGGACGATAACTTCCACAAATGCCAAGGCCAAAATAGTTAGAGCATCGGGTGGAGTGTTGAGAACCAGGTTCCGAACATGTTTGTACCGGCGAGTTGGCACTTGCAGCAAATTACAGGCGCTATGGCAAAATCCTCACCATGCTGCCCCATTCTCGTCAGGTTCGAATCCTCACCATGCTGCCCCATTCTCGTCAGGTTCGAATTGTTGCGCCGATTTTTTTTTTTTGGGAGGAGGAAAACTATCGTGCTCAAGATTGTTTACACACCCGTGTCGTGCAACCAACCGGTACATCCAATTTGCGACGAACAATCCCAAAATTAAAAAATTGCTTGCTGAATGGACGGCGCAGGTTATGCATACGAAGCCTTCCTTAGGAACCAACAAGAAGCAGCGGGAGCTCGGAACCCACACGAGGAATCTGACGGCGGGGGGGAGCCGCCTGCAGGAGGGGGGGGAGGGGGAGAGAGACACGAGGGGGGGCTGAGTTCAGATGTGGAAGCTGGCGCCGAGGTGGCCCCGCCGACAGGAGCAGCGGTGGGAATGGATGAGGAAGAAACACCCGGGGAAGAGGAAGAGGGGGCAGATGAAACACCCGGGGAAGAGGAAGGGGGGGCAGACAAAACACCTCAGGAAGGGGAGGGAGAGGTTAGGCTTGCCGGCGAGGAGGATGGATCGGAGTCACGGCGTCCTTCGGGTGAGGGGCTGCGCTTGAGCTGTGTAAATGGCGCCGAAATCCATGTATCTATTTGGTTGGTGTAGGCTACCCCACACGGCCCACCCAGGCACCCGCATACAACAACACCGGCGTGCTTTGGATATTTCAGCAGTTGAGAAAGGTCGCAAGAAATCCCGAATCCCGTGTTATGCTATCTTTTGTTGCGAGCATGCTTGATCGTTCATCCTCACCAACCCGAATATGGGGGTGCGGGCGGGAGGCAATCGCCTTGTTGAAAAACATTTCCCATACATTTATACCAATGGCAATATGTTGGCACCTACCTCTTAACCCATACTATTATCCTGGCGCCTTGATCGATTTCCTAGGTTGTTTTGATGATATTTGGGAGGAAGGGTCGCAGGACAGCGAAGGAAGCGATGATTCGCTCGACGGCATGGACAATATGGGGTTCAACCTCGACGGGGACTTTGTGGTGTACGACGACGACGCGTAGTTCATGTGCGTTGGTACCCGGCCGTTCTATTAATGCGGTTCGTGTGGTGGCTCGGGCTTTCGAGTCGATGGAGTTTCCTGTAGGATTAGCTGTATGTTTTTTTTTTTGTGTGACGTGTTGTACAAAATATGTACTGACGTACACAGTATATATCCCTTCACAAAGCCCGTTCCGTGAGAGCGCCCCGCCCCAACAGACAAATTGGTTCATTGCATTGACACGTTGAGGACGCAGTTTACCTTTTATCCTTTTTTGCCCCTGTACCTTTTGTCCGTCCCGGAGCTTCATTTTCACCTGCAAAGTTTGTTCACCCCCCGGGGCATTCGCAAAGGCAAACTGCGGTTTTCGTTGGATCTCCCTCTGGTGGCATTCAACCGGCGAACTTCACCTTTGTTTTATCTCTTGTTTTTCTTCCCACAAAAACAGCTAACTCGAAGACTTCGTTCTCTCCCCGACGCAATGTGTATCTCGTCCCAATGTCTTGTCACAGCTAACGGTGGAGTCCACGTCGTGACCCCTCCGGGAGGCTTTTCTTAACGGGGTGCAGCCGCGTTTGGCTGTTCTACTGGTACAAGTTGCTAATTACCACGAATTCTTTCGGCCTTGTACGCGTGCACCTTTACACAATCCATGTGCGCCGTGTGTTTGCTTGTACTTGTCTTAAGTGTGTCGCACAGACTGCTCAACACTCGGCGTGTGTGTGTGTGCTTCATTGTTGTTGGGTTGAGGGACTAGGTCATGGACAGGTGTATGTCATTTGTTTTAGGGGGGCGAAAGGTGGTCCAGTTTTTTTGGCAGCACTGGCGACGACGACGACTGCAACATGGCACAATACAAAGTGGTCCAAGCTTACACTAGTAATTTGAATTTTGGGAAATGCACCATCGAAAAACGTAGATGATATTTTGCGTTGAAAACCAAGAGGAACTTCTACTTTGTCGACCGCCAGTCGCAAACGTATCGCGCTCAGCTTTGGCCTGGCCATCATGTGCACGCAGGCACACAAGGAACACCTGCTGTGCCGTTGTCCTCCAGCACAAAACAACTTCAAACGTCGGGCGTCTCTCCGAGACATCATCACGGACCACCAAGCAAGACGTCAGCACGGACAGGGGTATCGCTGGTAGTGGCCATGGGAGGCAAACACGCAGACATTTCCTTTCAGTTTCAAGCGCATATACTTCTGACACTCGCTTACATTTGGGCTATTGCTATGCAACCTTCACACAAGCACACCTAGGTCCTACAATTTTAGAGAGCACCGTCAGGTAACGAAAAGCAAATCACAGGCTTGCGGCCTTCCTCGCCACCCCGCCCTGTCTCCCATATAAACCACGCCTCAGTAGAGCTACATCCTCTTCCGCGGTACGTAGCGCGCGGGAGCATCACAACCCTGTCAGGCGCATTTTCCTTTAGCCACCGCCCTCTGGTTTTGGTGGGCTCCAGAAAAGTCAACCTCAGCTTGAAGGCTACTCCCATACGCCCGACCCGCATCGCCTGCTTCAAAATGGCGAAGGCGTACTTGTAGGGTGGGCTCGTCACGACCCAGTCCGGACGCACCCTTTCCTCGACGTACGCCTTGACAAACGCGTCTGTGGCGGCGTCCAGGTGCGTATCTGCGACCAATCTGGGGGCAGGGAGGTAAAAAAAAAAAAAGTGCCAACGATTTTAAGTTAAAAGTTGAACGTGAAGACTGAACATTTGCCACTTTTGAATAGTGGCCAGTATCATGGATGGGCACTTTTCAGCACTGCCCTATGTGTCTTTGAGCACAGCCTACCGACTTTACGCCAGCACCTCGGATCCAGTGCATGGTTGCACCGAAGCCGATCTGAGACACACACGTACGTCGGGTTCATGTCGTTTGTTGCAACACGGAGACCGAGTGAACTCAGGACGGTGTAGACTGCGTCTTGGGCGGCACCACAGCAATCGAGTACCCTGCCTTCCAGCTCCACGTGTTCCAGAAGGGCTCGCACCTGAAAATCGCGAAAGCAACGTGGTGGTAACTTCATCTGTTATTCTTACTACTGTAGATGGTACGTGCTATCTGGCAGAGGGAGTGTGCGGGCAGCGGAAAAAAAAATGAGCGGCGCTCTACAGCAGTACATATACTTCTTCCGATGTCTTCGGGGGAGCGGTTGAGGTTCTTCTCACAACACGGAGAGGACCTCACAGAGAACGACGCACAACGGTATATTCCTCGTACTTACCATTGAGCTAACGTGAGAAACAGCAACTAAGGCTAACCGAACAACTGCTGTCACTCCATAAGAGGCAGGGCGAGGGAGTCATGTGATCAGAGATGGGTCGGGCACCGCCCGGTACCATGCCATTAACAAACGGCACATGGCGACGGTCGAGATCCCAGAAAAAAGGAGAGGCAGAAAGCACACACCAAACTAGAAATTGGGTTCTTTCTACGTGTGGTGTCTTTGCGCGGTCTAGAATTCGGAGACGACCTACCGTAAGGATGCGAGAGAACGCACGGGGGTGTTGGCACGGCGATGAGGTTGCGAACACCTACCTACCTCTCAGGCAAGTCCTCGACGTGGTTTTTCAAAACTTCCCTTGTCGGCAGTGGTACCCTCCTGGTCGTGGAGAAATCACGCTACATGATAAATGCCTTACCGTACACTGCCGTAGACAGAGGTGGTGTATCTGCAGCACCATACCTGAGAGCCCGTCGAGGGGTACCGGCCCATCGGCGACCGCTGTCCAACCACCATTTTGTGCAAAGGTCCTTTTTCGTCCCTCTGCCGCCTCCACACGTACGTCTTGTACAAACCAATCACGCAGTCCGTCCGGGAACAGACGCACTCCCCCACCCGGAGAGGGTTCTGTTGAAGATCGCGATCATGACGCCAGCCTGATCCAACACTCGCAGACCACTCGCCCAGCAGCGCCCATGTTTCCGAGTCCCCCACGTGTTGCCACCTTGTTGAGCACCCGTCGCGGCTACCCGGACGGTCACACGCGAAGCACCGCCGAAGCTCCCCTTCTGCTGCTGCTTCTTTGCCGTGCACGCCTTTGCCGCACGAGGCGCGGAAACCACGGACCATGCTGCAGAAAACCGTTGAAAATGGCGGTAAACAGCTGCTCGTCAAATTGTCGATTTTGGCGTCCACAGAGAGAGATCGACGACAATATTACAGCAGTAGTAAGTACAACACCTCAGCTACACGACGCACCCTCTGAAAGCCGAAGAATCGTTGCTGGGCACTAACCTGGGCGTGGTGCGGCTGCTGGACCGAGTTGCTCCGCGTATAGGAGCCCTGACGCGAGGCAGATTCGGTTCTTCGCACAGAAAGCTGCCAAACGCCCAAAACTTGCACCGACAGCTCTACCACAAGTAGCACAACAGTATACCGAGGTTCAGTTCTGTCTGGTGTCCATGACGAGGCTCCTACGGCTCTGTGAACATGCAGCCTGCTGTGCCCTGCCCGGGGGGGGTTTGTAGGGGGGTGGCAAAAATCGAGGGGGTACCATCTGCGAGTGCCCGCGGTACTTTCTCAGCCGCCCTGATCGTCCATACATCGGGCCTCGTGCATCGATTCACCTCGTTTCTTCTCCTCAACCCTTCGACAGTTCATCTTCTAGCGGATCGCCCTTTCTTCGACGCCACCCGGCTGGTGACCATCCCGTGGTGAAAAAGGAAGTGTCCAAGAAAAAAAAAAAAAAAACTAAACCCAATAACACTGTGACTGCTGGTGTGTGTCATGTTGAGGGGCACCGGGACAGGCCGATATGCAAGATCGCCACCCCCCGCCCTCGTCCCCCCAGCAGGCAGCACTCGAGCACATCAGAGCATGCCATCAGCACCAGCAGTGACGGAGAGAGAGAGAGAGAGCAGCCGAGGCGCGGGGGTGACTGCACACAGGGTGGTGCGGTGCCACTCCGAAAGCCGTAAATTCGCCCCAGCTTGTGCGCAGCACTTCTATTCCTCCTGTTCACAGGACGAATCATGATTCGACTTCGTCTTGTTGCGGTTGCGCTGACTCTCACGACCAAGGCACACACCTGCAGTGGCTTCATCCCTGCTGCTGCTGCTGCTGCTGCTGCTGCTGTATCCAGAATACCGAGGCCGGTGTTTCGAAGTCCAGGGGCGAACAGTAATGGTCGACATGTGGGTGCCTGCTCTCCCCCTACTGATCGGTTTCGACCGCCGCGAACGCTGAAGAATGGAGCAGCCGACAGCAGCGATGACATCGATCTCAGCTCCGCGATGGCGAACGCGCGTGCGAACCTCGCGGCAGGTATATCTACACATCTACACACTCACTCCCACAGCCGCAGGCTGTTGCCTGTTCTGCACAGCAATGATGTCGCTTCCAACTAGGCTCAGCTGCAGATGCCTGTGCTTTGGAGTCGGCATGTGATGAATATCTTCCAGATTAGTGTTAGGCTGCACAAGATACCACACCCCCTACCCTGAACCGATGTAAAAGCTCGTCCACGCACAACATGTACCCATGACGAAGAGGATGCATACTGAGAAGACGTATTTTCGGAAAGCCTTCGACGAGACGGCTCCAACGCCGCCGTTTTCGGCGCAGCCACTCTTTCTGCTATGGAGAAATCGAGCTTTGAAAATTGGTCTAGAAGGTGTGATATCTCACTGCTGTCACCTGCGGTACGGCAGTTACGGCTTGGTACAAGACTACCATGGTTTTCAGCCGTAGTGGTGATTACGCATTACATGGGTGTCTTCGTCAACATGTACTTCTCAAGAGTCAGGGAGCGTCAAGACGTCGTTGATTGCCTTCCTGCCCTCAAACCCTCTATTATTAGGCACGTCTCCGGGGGCGGGGCTTAACTCCGCGTTTGACCAAGCGGACGCCGCGTTTGCAGGTGATGTGATTCACGGAGCTATTGATATGTCACGACGTTCACTACTGTTTGTATTTGTGGACGAAAAGTTTTCGTAAACATGGCTTGCTTGGTATTTGTGTGCAGTGTTGCAAGGTTCTCGTTCTACTCCTGCTGCCGAAGGTGTCGCCGCTGCGTTCCTGCTGACTTGTTTCAGAAACAATTACGAAACGTCCACAGGACGACCTGGTCCACCCGAGGCAAAATGTTTTTTGAAAGCTTCACAGCTTCGTACTTCCGTCGTATTTCCTTTGTTTCGCAGACCTAATCGTAACGAGCGTTGACGACCAGGGGGTAACGCTGGACGATGAGGTGAGGACACACACGAACACGCACGAGAGGACCCTGGAGTATGTATGTCGGTGTTGCAGGGCCAGCCTCGATGAAGCCACTGATGAGAGGCACGCGGCCTTCGCAGACCGTGCTTGCAAACATCACATACAAGTGCGGTCCTGCTGGCCACCACATAACCTGCGTAGATTGTTGGGTAGCGGGTGCTTCCCGTCAAAGGCGGAAAAAAGGTTGACTGAGGACCTTGATACTAACATGTGCACAGGCCATTCTTGCCCATGCAATGCAGAAGGGGGATAGCCCTTCAAACACATACTAACATGATACACGACCCCCCCTAGATCTCCACTGATCCGTATCTAGTGCTGAACACACCTAACACAGATATCAGGGCCCCTTTCTTTGCACATGACCTTTCATAAGGAGGCCTTCAGACACAACAAACACTGCAGAGAAGTATGGAAGGCACACATGTCCGGCCGGGGCAAAGCATGAATTGACCACGCTGGTTCATGTTTGTGCTACCGCTCCCGGCCCTCATGTTTTCGTGTTGAGACGCAGACAGACCAGGTTCAAACGACGTGCCACGAACGAGTTGATTCTGCTGTGCACTTTTGAAAACCCGGAGATGCGTACACTTTATCGTTGTTTCGTGAAGACAAGTGTAAAACACAACAGCATTGAAACCACTCACTGCGCTTGTCCTCGGAGAGAGAAGGTCACGTGCTGGCGTTCGCCCCGCCCTCTGCTCCCTCGTATATTCTACCAGGAGGTGCAAGAGCTCGCTCAGTCAGGAATGATGGATCAAGACAGCACGTCCAAGAAGAGCAAGGGCCTCTTTGGCGACATGAAGGATGTGTTCGGGGCACTGAGCGGCGGAGCTCACATCGTCAAGCGTGACGACGGCACTTTGTGACGTCACGTCTCCACGTACACATTGGGTTGTTTACCATGGGATTTTTGTTCGCCACCGCGGTTCTTTTACCATGTTGTGGGGTCCGCCGCCGTGTTGTATGGTACATCTTGCGTATGCGGGATCCAGACAGTTGGCGTGACCTGCGCGTGTACTACTGTCCGAGCCACACCATATGCGCCATATTTTCGTCCCTTGCCCCTGTTTTTTCTTTCTCAGTTGTTGCGAAGAACACGCAGTATTCTTGCAAATGAGAACGGGGAAATGCTTGGAGGTTGTCGTGGGCAGCCCGACGTACCCCCCGTCACTTGACGCATGCGGCTTCTGTGTGTAGTGACGTAAAATTCGAGCTTGAAGTCAAGGCATTCACATGCACCAACAGGGTACCGGGCGCCAACTTGAACTTCATGGATGCTAAGAGCCGTTTGAGAGGGATGTGTCCCAGCCCGAGATCGATTGCCATCCAACAATGTTCACGTAACACATGGGGGCACAACGTGCGCAAGGGAAACTGTACGAAGGGGGGCACTGCTTACCGCTCTCAGAGATTGCTTACCACTGTACAAAAAAGCCCTCTCTGCCGGTGCACCAACGCCAAAGCTTTGTTCCGCGGTATCTTGCGTGGTCAACCGGTTGATGCGGTCTTCCTTCCTTCAACAGAGTTACCCTTCGGGGCTACACCGTCAAGTTCTCCACCTGATCCCCGAGCCCTACCAAACTCTCATCGGGTATCGAAAACGGGCGATGTTGGTGCGCTCTACGCCGAACAAGTCTGCGAGCTGAATAGGACCCTACGGCAGTCGTCGCGGCAGGATGTAAACAAACGACTCAGACCTACCGTGCGCCTTGCCAAAACTTTGGTCTACAGCCGGGGAACGATTCGCTCCGTTGCTTGCGTTGCTTGTTTCTCTTGATCTTGAAAATACTGTGAGGAAGGCGATGCCGGGTTTTTTCCAGCTCGCTCGAAAATAAACCACCAAAACAAAATTCCAGTTCACTACGCAAGCAGTTACTACTCCTTTTGAAGTTCGCGGAGCATGTGCCCCGGTGAAGCTCCTCTATAGCAAACACTTCGGTTGGGATGCCTACCCGAAAACCTCGTGCCAGTGCGCGCGACGAGAAACGTCGGCTCGGAACAAGCACGTCAAGACCTTAGCCTGTTGCAGACACAAAACATGTACCTGCCTCATCTACCAAAACTGTACCACTGCCTAAAACCTCTCCGAGGAAGAACAGAGACTCGCATCATCTATCGTTGCATGTATCGAGCGTGGCACTCGTCCACGCCTCAAGTAGCCGGCAATGTACCGGTGCGGCGTAGCAGCCGTTCTTCTCACCCGCAAGTGAAACCTGCATCGCTAAAAAAAACTATTGTTGTTCACAACCCTGCCGGCTGTTCGTTCATGCCGGCGTGCTTTTCGCGTTGAAGTGCTTCACTTGATACAGAATGTCCCGCAATCCAAGGAGCTTCTTCACCCACGATGGCGGCTGGAACTGCTCCATGATCTCGTACCCCATCGACGAGTAGAGGCTTGTCGCCGCGGGACTCGCAGCGTCCACGTGAAGGTACATACGCTCATAACTGCTCAACAAGAGAAAAATAATCCGGCGTGAAAAAAACAAGATTAGCAATTCTTGACTGCATTCGTAAACCCTCAGTCCCACACGCGATATGGATGGACAGAAACAAGCAAAAAAGTAAACGGTGTTGCGGTGGACGAGGGAAATGAGGGGTAGGTAGGTCGTCCGAAAACAAACCAGGCGAACTTAGGCATTTTCGTATCCCGGATGATGGTTCGATGCTTCACGACAACGTTGTGTGGGAAGTGCCTCCTAAGAACAATGTACGCCTCGATGGCCGACACATAAACCAACAGAAAGACAACACCCCAAACATGCTTCTACACGAGTACTCATGCTATGGCAATATGAAATCGGATGGACTACAGGTGACAACTTGCGCTCCCTCCGTAAGACAGCATGGTTGAAAAGTCCCCAAGGCCGAGGTAACTCGTGGCCGGCTACCCGACACAGGCAGCTTTTCCCCGTTGATGGTTGGGCAAGGAGAGAGGTTTCGAACAGGAAGGTGCGCAGGGCGGCTCCGCAGACGGTCCACCCACCCTTGCCGTCAAGTGGCACATGGCAGATCCGGACATATGGTCGGCGGTGGTTTTCCGAATCCCGACGGTTCCGGGAACGATTCTACGGATCGGTTGTTTTCTACAACTAGCATGTGAGCGTCGCATGGATCCTGCAGCACGCTTCCAATCATCTGGTATCCACATGAAACGCGCGGAATCTCTCCTCTGGCACTCACCCCCAATGCTTTTTGGCCACGCCTTCGCAGAGTCGAACCAGCTGCTTGCCGTACCCATTCCCTCGGTATTTTTCGGCGACGGCAAGGTTGCACATGTATGGCTCCCACCCCGTCATTGGCTTTTGCACGCACGGAGAGCAAAGAGTTGAGGGGGGGGGGGGGGGGGGGGGCCTTGTTACGATTGTGACGTTTGGTTCATCGACCGAACTAGGCAGCCGTACTGGTAGGACAGTTGGCGACCAACACAAATATATTGGAGTTGTTCGGTGCTGCGGGTGCCGTCTCGGTCGGAAGGACCAGGCATGTAAGAAACACCCAGACAGCAGTTGTAACAGTCACGGGGAACAGCAAGAGCACAAACCTGGGTGGTGCCTACGTCAGCGCTTGAACAAACTACAGACGCAAGAGATACAGAAAGGAAGCGGCAGCTACCCTGGAATGCAACGCAACACCAGAGAACAAAGATTTCACCGAACGTCTGCTGCTACCCAACCGGCCATTCGGGAATTTGCCACGATAACAACGCCGTCGTGTTCGCGCAGCACAGACATAAACACTATCGTTGCGTAGGACAGCAGCGAAGTACCTCACCACGAATGGCCCGTTGATGGGGAACCAGCCATCCGGTTGACGAAGACACAGCTCCACAACCGCGACGATATCGCCAGCATCCCCACCGCCAGCATCGCCAGCACCGTCGCCGCCCAACTCCGGCACGGCGGACGTCGCGCGGGCACTACCATTGGGACGGCTGTCTCTTACGGCTAGCACGAGCGCATCGCTGGTGAGAGCGAAATCCCCGCGTGTAAGGCGCTTCCCACACCGAGACTTGATGGAGCGCAAAATCTGGATTGGACGCCGGGCGGCCCAGTGGCGACGAGATGGATGAGACAGCAACAAAGAACACGCTGACAAAGACGTGAAACGGAAGGGCCGACGAAGCGAGAGACGGTGTATGGTGTACATATATATACAGAGGTTGGAAGAAAGGAGAGAGAAAATAATAGAGCCCGGGTTTACCGACAAAAACATAGGCTAATTTCCATCGCGATGACCCGCGACAAGACGGCTACCTGCGGTAAACCTCAGGAATGGGTACAACCTCTGTAATGGTAAAAAACCTTAAACGCGAAGGTACTGCTGCGTACCGACTGCTCGTATTACAGCGGTTCTTCTGTGTATGACCTGGCATGAGGTATCAGACCAAACCACCAATGGGCACTCCCTCTCCTCTCTTGGATGCGTCCCGCCCACCTTTTTGTAGGCCATCTCTTTCAGGTACTTGTTGGCCTTCTCCAGCCGCTCCACAGATGACTCGCTCCTCAATTCAGCGGGGTCTATCAAAATGTTCGGTTCAAACACCTGTTTTTCCGGTTGCCAACACCACCGAAATCTTCACAACACAAGAATTTTACGAGACCACGTGGCTGTAAAATCCAACGCGGAGTGCAAACGCACACAGCCCTGGCGGGACTCGAGCGGAACATACCGCATACACCCCACTGCTGCCTGTTCTTTGGTATGCATAACTGTAGCTAGTCCTTGATCGAGCTTCTGTCTTTGCTATAGGATGGAAAACGCAAGCTGTATCATGAGCGCCACGAAAACCGAAACAACGGCAACTGACGCTATATAGTCCATGTATGTAGGCGACACGTCGAGGACACTCCGCAGGGCGGCTGATACAGCAGTAGTTATGAGTAGCTCTCGAGACTATCAATAGACTCCCTTTCCGCAGGGGCCACTGGGCAACCCAAGGTACCTGTTCATACTGCACTCTCACCTCCGCGAGCAGAGCCGAGACATCAGGGAGGTCCGATTCTTCGACCAGCTTCACGTGTAGAGCTTCTTCATCAGCAGATGCCACAGCTTTCGTGATTACAGCAGCGGCACTTCGCCCAGCGCCATCCTCGCTGCCGCTGTTATGGCCGCCTTCGGTGGTGCCAGGTGCGACCTCTGTTGGGCGTTCGATTGGGGTGGCCCTTGGTGGCTGGAACGTGAAGAGAGAAGAGGGCACGCCCTCAGGACCACTACCGCTGGGGTGCAGTAGTCGAGGGCCTGATGACGCTGAACTGGGGCGGTGTCGTCGCCGTCTGATGCTACCGCTGGTGTTGCTGCTGCTGCTGCTGCCTAGCCTCTGCTGGGTGATGGCGTTCATGCGAGCCGCCGACTCTACGCCGGGCGGCAGGCGCCCATAACTAGGCACTGACGCGTACAGTGCAGCATGGGACGAGGCCAGCAGAGGTCCTCCTAGGTTCAGTAACATGTTATCCCCCTCTGTTCTCCGATGCCAGATGCTGTACTGATGCTCCTTGGTCCTCTTGCTTGCTGACAAGAGTACACGGGACTGATGCTTCGTGTTCCGAAAAAAACAAGGAGGCGTGAATTGATAAGCTATATTGTTCGAACTGCAACAACTTCAGGGGCATCTCGCTGCTCTCGCATGTAGGCAAAATACTCGCCAAGACCATCACCAACCGCCTCAGCGCATTCTGCGAAGCCAACGAAATCCTCCCGGAGGAACAGTGCGGGTTCCGGCCTGGCCGATCCACGGTATGCATGCTGTTCGTTGTGCGCCGACTCCAGGAGCTGGGGCGGAGGAGGAGAATCCCGCTCTACATGTGCTTCATCGATCTGCAGAAGGCATATGACTCGGTGGACCGGGAGCTACTGTGGAAGGTGCTGGCCCGGGCCGGGATCCCCGGGGAGATGATCG